TATAATATACACAGTATAATCTTTAATGTATGTATTTGTATAGGTATTTTTAATGTACTTGTTATGCCTTGTGATTCTCAAATGTGCTTAAGTACACATACACAAGTACACATTTTCATCACCCTTGTCTCCCTGCAGGCCCTCAGGAAGACGAGGCCCTGAGAGGGAGGAAGGCCTTCCGTGGCCAGGCGGTGGTCAGCCAGAACCCTGAGACAGAGCTGATGCTCGAGGGGGACGATGACGCTGTCAGTCTACTGCAGGAGAAAGAGGTGGACAACTTGGCAGGTGAGTCAACCTATACACAATACACAGTGCAATCTGTATGGAAGAGACAGTTCTCCATTCAGCATGCATAGTAAGTTAAGTCATACATCAGCTCCATGACGTGACCCTTTCCTTCAGTCTTCAGGTTTAAGTTCTATGTGCCACATGAGTTTGGATTAATCATTTTTAGACATAATTTGTTATATTATTGAAATGATAAAGTCATATTCAAACATACCTGTAGGTTTACCTGTACAGAGAAGTCCTGCCATAAGCACTTCATCTGAAATGTCTGCATAATTCCACATTTGGTAGCATTTATTTATTTAGACATAGCTTAAGCGTGGCATTTTGTCAGAATGACAGAATTTGACATGGAACAGATATATAAATATATCTTACCTTTCAATCTAGAGGCAAACCAGTGTAGTTACTTTGCGTTTGGACTGTGTTTACGTTTTTCTGGCAGTGTGTAGGGTTAAGTATTGCTCTGGACAGTGTTACTTTTTTTTTATTTTTCTTGCTGAATGTTTATTTATTTATTTTTAAGTCTATAGTAAAACAGTATTTTAAATATGTCTTTCTCTTCTATTTTTTTCTCACAGCAAATTTCTGTCCCCGGGTTTTTATTTCCAGAGGCAAGTTTGGCTATTTAAAGACAAATTAACCCTTCAAAAACCAGTAATATTACATTAAATCAAATTAATTAAATATAATTATTATAGAATTAAAGCAAATATGATTCTAACCAACAATCAGGAGGCAATCAAGATCGATATAGATGAGTTCATTGTTTATAGTTACATACCTTTCCAACATTTCAGCTGCTAATAATGACAGTTGTCAAATCAAACCTCATGTTTAATATATTTGGAAAATAATCTGATGATTTTTCCTTTGTAACTAAAATTATTTAAAATATTTATTTTAGTTTGAGGAATCTTTTTTTTTTTAATCACTTGAATTTCCATTATTCTCAGCAACTGTAATAACAGAATGACTTCTATTTTTATCAGCTCTACGTTGGAAGATGTTATATATGATATATGTATTGTGAATGTGTAGCTGACATGTTATTAATAATACCCTGAATAATCAATGCCCCACTCGTTCTGCAGACCTTCATTAGTCATTGAAGGTTAAAAATGAGTGGTGAGATATTTATGCATCTGTAGAAAATCCAATGCCCTAATTTCCCTATATATTTTCTTTACTATCTGAAGTGTTGTATATGTAATGCTCAGTCCTCTATGCATAGCTGATCATGTTATTAAAGCTCCCAGCATACAACCTGTTCAAACTCATTCACAATTTATAAGCAGTTCTGTATGCCATTCTACTTTTTTTTGACTCTGTAGGAATTCATTCATCAGATCTAAATCAGGATTGCCTCAATTACCTTTAATATGTTCCCACCAATGTAAGCCAATTCGGAGTGCAGGAATGCAGACTGGTGTGTTCCTGGTCTTCTTTTTCTTCCATTGATATTAAAAGTAATTTTACTGGAATGCAATTAATCATAAATCCTGGCACAGCTTATAAATTCCTGAAATGTTAAATGAGCACCATCAAATAGATTAATATAAAGCATCAAATGCACTGATATTGTATCTCCAGCACTTTGATTTTGTATTTCCAGCACTTTGTAGTTACAATACTTTAAAGTACTGATTATTTTAAAGACAACTTTAGTAAATTTATGTTGAAATAAAAATCAGTGGAAACCATTAATTATCTGCCACTGTAGGTTTGTGCAGTATTTGTGGATGACTATTCCTAAATTTGTTTTATTCCGTATGTAGGCTATTTTTGACTCATTGCAGGTAGCCTTGTGTTGTGACCTGTTTTAACAATCATTTTATTTGCTCAACATTTAGTTTTTAAAGATGTGTGTTTATGCATATGTTTGTTTTACTATAGTTGATCTCTGTTATCTGAATTGTGTATCTTCGCCACAATGGGAGCTGTGCCATCTGTGTCAGTATGCTGTGAGCTGTTTCTATTTTGACATCAGGCCTACAAGCTAATGCTAGTGCTAATGAGCACAGTGTAAACAATACACTCTTAAAAATAAAGGTGCTTCAAAAGGTTCTTCAAGCGATGCCATTGAAGAACCATTTTTGGTTCCACAAAGAACCATTCAGTCAAAGGTTCTTTAAAGAACCATCTCTTTCTTACCTTTTTGTAATCTGAAGAACCTTCTTTCGCCACAAAGAACCTTTTGTGAAACAGAAAGGTTCTTCAGATGTTAAAGGTTCTCTATGGAACCATTTAGACAAAAAGGTTCTTCTATGGCATCGTGAAGCACCTTTATTTTTAAGAGTGTAGGCCAATCAACATCAGCCTTCTCAAAGCCAATGGGAAGGGCTTAGTTTGCCTACAGCCAATAAGAGTACAGGAGCTGTCAGCTAAACATAGACAGAATAGGTGTGATGTTAAAGAGATTTGATACTGATTTTTTTTCTCTTTCACACACGCTCTCTCATGTGTGTGTGTGTGGTTACATATTAGACCACCGTATTAACATTTTACCTGTACTAGTTATATCTGCTTTATACTCTATTAATCTATTTCACATCTAGCCTACGTTTGTACTATGATCAAACAAAAAATTGTCTTATTTTCATATTCTTATTAGGGCCCCTGTAGTGACAGAGAGAACAATCATCTATTTTCCCAGCATGCCTTTGTCTCGCCACACTCCAGTGAAATCACAGTCAATAGCGCGAGGCGGTCTTATTAACAGCTGACGTCAGGACAGAGCACACGTGACCCGACTGCATGCAGCTCAGATTTGCTGAGTACAACTGCACCTGTTTCATTCCAACATGATAATCTGCTAATCCTCACTAGTATTCTGAAATCAACACTACATCACTTGAACACCGGCAATACAAATTAATCAAATAGGCTTAACAGGAAAAGTTACACATAACAGTCGTTATTATTATTATTATTACTACTATTTTTTATTTATTTTGTAATTTTATTTTTTGTAACTTTTATTTTTATTTATTTATTTTGGGGGGGGGGGGGCTATCGTAAAATATAGTACGCTATAGTATAGTATAGTAGCTATACAGTAGGCCTATAGTATAGTATAGTTTAGTATAGTAGGCCTATAGTATAGTATAGTATTGTAGCCTATAGTATCGTACATAGGGCTGGGCCTATAGCTAATATTTAGAAGCATCGATAAATGTCGTTCATATGGTTTTACACGATCGAGAAACGGTCCAGTCCCAGCGGCAGATGAGATTACATGTCACGTGAAACCTGATCGCGCTGATTATGTAATATGAACGTATTTTTGTTTGATCCCAATTTTTTAGAGGTCTCTGAAGGTTTTAGCGCTAATCCTCTCTCTGCGCATTGGATTAATGCTGTATAGTCTCTGGATTCACAAGTGTCCTTCTAGGGCTAGGCCACATTGCCTCTTTCTCTATTAAACGTGAGAGGGCCTTGATTCGGATTAAAGGGCTCACTAGCTTTTCACAGGTGAAGCGATGTTGCCTTGTCGAATTATTTGCAATTACACAACATTTTTATTCGTTCAGCATAACTCCTTATAAAAGAAATGTGATTAAATATATATCTCTTCGATTTAAGGTCCTACTAGCTGCTACACAGATTGTTTTTATATAATCAAAATATACTGATCACATTCGTTTGTAGTATTTGCTGGAAAGCGCAATGGCGGATGTTATAGCTGGTACAAAAGGAGGCAGAGCGGCTTTGGTTTCTACGAGCGGTCTGGGAGAGCAGTGAAGGAGTGCTCTGGGAATTGAAACCCAAATCCACTTGTAATCTTACAACAGTATCGGGCATAATTGGCCGAGGGGAGCAGATTAAGATTGATGAGACGTTAAAGTGGCTCTTTGGAGTTCAGGGGGATCGATAAATATCCCAATTTCAAGAGCCTCTCCTCACATCCAGGACGGACCCGTGGGCTGCTTCAAGGGTGAACTAATAAAAGACAGAGGACTGGTCAAAGAGAAAAATTTAGAGCGCGCGCGCGCATCTGGGATTAGATCCTAGTCATCTGACCGGAGGTCAAAACGTCTGTAAATATTTTAATAATGTTTGTAAGGTCAATTTTACAGATTTCATATCATCAAAAGGGAATTTCAACGACTGATTTGATTAGGAAGCGCATAAATGCGTATCACTCACATATGATTTGTTTTGTAGCAAAATAATGAAAGAAAGTGACTGTGAAATGATTGCCGTTAGGCCTCATAGAAACGCTTACCTATTCAAATAATCGAAGGGATATTTTCTTTATATAATTTCAGATAGCCGACGCTTCAATTTGGAGGACTAATCGTGTAATTGCTGAAACGATTCGCTTTAACAATTTACATATTTTTCCCATTTCATTTTTCATGCGTATGTTTGTGTAAAACTCTGCACCATATTTACCTTTTGATTCGATTTGAAAAAAAATATATATACTAAATTCATTATTTTTTGTGTAAATCCAAATTATTTTGAATATACCTACTACGTGCAATATATTTCGCACAACACGCAAGATCAAGCCATTGCGTATAAGATCGTTAGACCCCCGTCATGTCCAAGTCTACAAGCTTGAAAAAATATTACAAACACATTCTGAAGAAATGTCACAAATTGTTTAATGTGCGTGTATGGTTGTGTATAAATACATCAGCTACTAACTTGCATTATGTATCGTTTGTTGGTGACTGCCTGGCGAGACCTAGGCTATTCTGTTTTATTTTCCCCTGTGAAAATAAAAGTCTGTTTCCTTTTTATAGGCCCTGTTGTTTTGAGCACCCCGGCCCAGCTTATTGCCCCGGTCACTGTAGCTCGTGGGACTCTCTCTATCACTACCACGGAAATCTATTTTGAAGTGGACGAAGATGACCCAGCCTTCAGACGCATTGATGCCAAAGTAGGTTGCATTTGTATTATGTATTTGTAAGTGTGTACACATAAAAATACCAAGCCGAATTGCACTCTGAATGACATGGATCAAAATAAAATACTATAAATTGTTTAACAATCTTACAGCTTTATTAAAACCGTCAATTATTTCATAACGTTAAAAATATATATATTTTTTTCTAAATCGAGGCCCATGCCTTGAATGCCCCCTGAGGCCACGTGCAAAGATCTTGATTTAGTTTTTAAAAAGGATTTGAATAAAGGTAGTTTTTACTAGACCTGCATTCATGACAAAATATCAGTTAGAATGATGATTTATGTACAAATAGCCTATGTAAAATTAACCAAAGCTTATGTGTTTAAAACTCATAATCGCACAAATCGGCAATCGTCACTTTTGTCATGAATTACATAGAATAACCTAATATTGAGTGAAGGAAATATAGTCTAAAAAGCTGTAAGTTAAAATGACATTATTTTAACATTAAAAATGAAGGGGTGCATTTCAGATGTGTCGAACTGTCATGAGAGATTTTGTATCGTTAAGCAATTAATATTTCAGTTAATCTTTATCCTTCGCTCAACAACACTGTTCACAGGAAGAAGTTTTTTTTTTTCTTTCTTTCTTTTTCTGTTTTGGTGTTTTCCCCGCTTTTTTTATTTTTATTTTGTAAGAATCAGGCTACATCGTGTCATTTTTATGCCAAAGATCCAGATGCTCAAAGATCCCCAAAAATCGTGCCTTTTCTTACGCTGCAATGTTTATGCATCATGAATCATTATTTGGACACAAATATTAATTTGTTTTTATTAACTCTTTAAATAAACTCAGAGACAGCTATAAAAAAAAAATCAAATCACAAAATGTTATATTCCAGTGTATTTCAAGTGCATTATTTTCAGGTATATTTTTTCATATATATATTCTCAATTTCAGCCTTCTATCAGGTAAGCAAGGTACAAACAAAAACGGTCGAATATACTTTAAATAAGAATTCAAGTATGCGTATGGAATGTTTAGGAACGTAACAAATAGTACCATTAAAATGTAAACTTTAGAAATTTGCCATTGACAATAGATTAAATCGCTGATGAAGGTCTAAATGTTTTTTCCTCTTTCTCTCTTCAGAAATAATCCAGGCGAATGTTAAAACAGGTGAAATTATACTTCTATTTACGTGTCACAGAACAATATTCACAACTGAAGACCACCGGATTCACAATCTACAAATGTGTCTATTTACAGTATAAAATGTACAAGTTGTATTCTGTCACATAGCTTTGTCTCGAAAGCTTTTAGGTAAAACGTGTTGTTGGGCAGGGCTCGTAAAAAGAAAAGAAAGAAACAGTAATACTGACAGGTAACCATTCATTTTGATTGTTGATACAGTTTGCTCCCTCCTTAAGACAAATTAATTTCATGTGAAGTATTTTTAAACGGAGCTCTCTACAATATTTTTACAACAAAAACAACGTGGGTTGGTTTCAACAGTGACCATTTTGTGGAAGAGTTCCTGATTAGCATCGTCTAGGCCTCAGAACTTTGATCGGTCACAAACATGCCGTTTATTTTTTTATTTTTACCTCAGAGTTTCTCCAGGCTTTTAGGGTTGGTTAGAATTTCTCTCGCCAGTCGCCAAGTCTGTTTGGCAGAGTTTTCAAGGCCCGAATGTGGCTTTCCTTGGAAAAGGTCTAGGCTTGGCAGAAAATAATGGGGGCATCTCCTGCACTGCAAGCACGAAATGAGCTGCAGTAAAATCCCGTTCAGTCGATCCCCGAGGCAGTTCTCGTCCCAGTCCGACTCGCGCGGGTGTTTTTCGCACTCGTAAGACACAAGAGTTTTCATGTGGTAGTTGTTGAGAGGCTGCCCGGGTAGTTCAAGGTGACGGTCGCGCAACGTCTTGAGCAGGGACAGGCATTTCTTCCTGCACCCTCCCAGGAGCAGTCGGTTCTCCGCTTCGGCGAACTGCAGCACCCAGGCATCACTCTCCGCCGAGCTCTGCTTCCCGTTTAACGAGTAACACTCCTTCGATAAGAGATTGAAACCCTCGGCTTTGACTTCTGCCACCCTGTTCGGACCAGGCCACGGGACGTGCGGCATCGGCCAGTGGGCAGCGCTGCGCGGCCATATGCCGGTGCACTTGAACGCGGGGGTGATCTGAACCACATACCTGTCTCTGATGCGTAATTTCACCTCGCTGGTGTCCGCGATCATTTTAACCACGTCCCTATAGCTGCACTTATCCACCGCCTGCGCCACGAGCGTCTGGAACCTGGAGCGGATCTTGCGCGCGGACAGGTATCCCGAAGCCGTGATGAACTCGACCCAGAGGGACATACTTCTCTTCCGCCCGTCGCTTAGCTTGAGCACGGCGCAGCCCGGCAGAGAGCCGTCGTCCACGAAGTTGAAGACCCCCATCTGGTTCAGATACAGGACCACCTCGAATTCTGTTGGGGAGATGACCTCGAGCCCCTCGAAGCGGTTATCCATTTCGTTTAAGGAGCTGATAAAGCGAGGCTCCTGGACCTCCACCTCCTTCAGGACATCTGAGACCACCTTGCACACCTCCCGGATGGTCTTGGAGATGGCCGCTTTCCGAGACTGGCATTTCTCGTTGTAGTATTTATTGAGATGATACACCAGCTTGGCCTGGGCGGCGATCATATTTGGACAGAGATCCGGGTTGTACACCGGAGTCTCGCAGTAACCCGAGGGATCCAACGCGGCTGTTTGTACAGGAGCCAATTTTAGAGAAGAAAGTGGACTATTTAGAGGAAAAAAATGGATTATGAATGAAAAAATAATCTTTTTATTTGTGCGTTGAGCACATGCACAGAGTCGGGCAGTTAAATCATCAGCTTCTGTTTTCAATTGCGACCAACAAAAAAAGTCAAACCCCTTGCTCTAATTCAGCATTTAGAAGTCCATACGCACGGATCAGTAGTTCAGCAAACCTCTTGTATCCACGTGCGGTGTCTTTTCTCTGTTTGCAATAGGGGTTGGAAAGTGCAGGGTGCTCTTAAGTGTGTCCTAGCTGTGTTGGTGTGTTTAAGACTCCGAACTCACTCCTGAGAAATTATAAAGGGAGGGTTTGAGAGGAGCTCGTCCAATCACGGCCCGAGTCGTCACTGCCTTCAGTTTTTTGACGACAGATTAATCCTCCGCTTTTATACACAACCAAATCGTCCGGTGGAAACACACCTACACTTTGGAGGGAGAAGATACAGGTTTATTCGCGACATATACGGCTTTCCTGCTATTCTTATTAGATACAGATTATGCCTGTTATTATTTAGGCTATTTTCTTTTTATCAGAAATAATGTCATTTTATAGGCTAAGTTTGAGAATAGAATATTTAAGATGTATAATTTGATATATACATTTAAAAGTTTCATTTTCATTATCGTTTTAAAATCTGTATTACAATTTGACAAAAATAGGCTATCGTTTGTATATATTTTTTCTCTGTAGTTTGACGTGCATAATGTTTTTCGTTGACCTGTTCATTCGATTTTTCTTTTGGTGTTGCAGTATTGTTTATATTTTCAATGTTTAAATGTCCACGTTTGACAATCGCTTTAGTGTATGTTATTTAAAATTCGCTTTGAATATTATACTAATAGAGATATTATTTTAATTATTTTGCAATTTTAATATGGTGACATGTCTCAGTACCGAACGCCGGAATCTTTTGTTTCATTTGAAATATTTCAAACATTAATCCATGTTATTAGTAATTTTCGTATAAAACAGTAAATGAAGCATTATGCTCATTTGTGTCATCGTCTTACTTATAGCATATGAAAAGATTAGGTTTATGTTTTTGTGAAGTTCACTGTTAAATGAAGATGAAGGCCTTTTTAGTTTATATAAAGTGCGTTAAGGCGTTCTTCCCAACATGTTTAAATTCCTGTCGCATTTTGTGTCTAATTAGTTATTTTAATTTTAATTATTTAAAAAAAAAGAGTATTCTGTAAATCTGTACTTTTGCATAAAAATAAGCCATTCCGAAGTGGTATAGCAAATGTAAAAGCAGAAGCGTCTTTTTGATCTTTATAATTCGTCTTTTACGAGAGTTCTTTTATGTTTTGAATTAAAACTAGTTTTTTATTTGTTCGATGGAAAGAAAATATTATCTTATAAATCTGAACTTATTTTATACTTTTTTTTATTAACTACAAGAGTCGTATACATTTTCTGTTCTTGTCCAGTGTACAATTAGTCACAATTCGTTTTAATTAGCCTACAACTTTTTGTAACGTTGTTTCAAAATCTTGTGCTTTTATAACGTGCCTGTGTTTTCTTATTTTAACCTTTTATTCATTTTTTTGTCCGTCAAATTAAACGTTCAATAATCCTACTGCAATAAGGAAATATTTTAACGATTTGAGATAAAATTCTTCAGATCACGCAACTACGATATCTGGAAAAATATAAGTTGTGTATCAATGCGCGAAATGCAGAAACACCTTCTCGCGATATTATTTCTGAAATCAAATAACAAACAAGATCACGTCGTGGCTACGTGACAAGATTCCTCGTGCCCTTTCCAAATCCCCATCATCACATGACGCGGCGCTTATATGGCACTCACTGAGTAAAAACATTTATCTTCTTAAAAAAAAAGGAGATATTTAATAGACTATGATATATTTATACATGTTCTTCATATATCTATAAGCATGTCTGTTTCAGTACATAGATCAGATTGTTAGGTCACTGTACTCAGGGCATCACAGTCTTTTGGCTCTAGCCCTCACTGTAGTCTGCTTGGCTCCTTCTGCCTGCATGATTTTGCCAACCATAATTAATAGAGCTCTGTTGTTTGCAGGCAGAGATCACACTTATCAATTGTCCTTCGCCTCTGTCTGGAAATAAAAGCAAGGTGAATGCTGTTTGGGCCTTTGACGGCAATTCAAGACTATATTCAAAGCAAACATTTATAATATATATATATACATTTAAAAAAAGAAAAACGTGTTCAAAAGACTGTATGACCAATATATCTGATATAAATTAATTTAATTATAGGCTACTGTACATGCATTAGGTGACATTAAACCTTTGTAGATTTTTGGGGGATGATTTGACACATGAGAGGAAGAGAAAAAGTACTATTATTATGACACTTTCTTACTCAGAATTGTTTTGTGCTTTCCACCTCAACCCCCTCCCCCCCCCTCTCTAATGCACACACACACACACACACACATTACATGGCAGGTACCCAACCATATCAGATCAGACGGTCTCCCTCCCTTCACTGGTTCATGCTCTGATGTGTTTAGCACTGCTTTTGTATGTCTGAATCAGTTGCTTGTCTATTGTTTGCCAGTGTGTTACAGTATACAGCAGTACACTGTAAAAAAAAAAAATCTGTGACATTTACGGTAAAAAACGGCAGCTGTGGTTGCCAGAATTTTACC